GGTTGAGCTATAGGCGCCGAGCCTGTGTCCCCTTTTCATGTGATCTCAGTATATCTTGTTCCCATGATAGCAAAACATTTCGTCAGTCTGTCTTTCTTCATCCGTACATTCATTTTTGCATTCCAAATATGTTTTGAGCTTCTCCTGGGAGCCAGGTCTCATGCCTGGCATGGTGCTGGGGATGAAGAGAGATGATGAACAAGAGAAGCCTGATTATTACCTTCATGAAACTTACCCTCCAGAGTGGGAGAGGAAACATTACAAATGGGATAACTGTTCAGAAGTGCAAGGTTCTATCGGTTGGGTTTAGGGGTGTGACTGAGGAAGATTTCCACTAAAAAGTGATGATTAAGCTAAGAACCAAAGCATAATCAGAGAAGTTCATAAGGTCACTCTGAACAAGAAACAACTAACTACTTCTTTTCCATCACAGAATCTCGAATCCTGACCTTCTTAGAAACCTACCTTGCCTCGGGTCATCAGAAGCCATTGCCTGCAGTACCTGGGGGATTGGGTCCAGTTCACAGAGAACTGGAAGAAGTTGCTATTAAATTTGTTCGCCTGGTCAACTATAACAAGATGGTCTTCTGTCCCTATTATGATGCAATCCTCCGTAAGATCTTCATCTGATCCTAACTTGTATGCACCCTACAGCAGCAGTATTATTTACTTGCCTCAGAATATCTGTTCTGAACTATAATGTTGCTTTGGAAAATGGCTATGTAGTACATTTCTATTTAATAGCACTGACTCCAAAGGGAATACTATGTGTATTACTGTTGAAAAGAGTTGTTGAAAAATGCACTGAATTCTATTTTGACAGATTGTATTTATGAGTGCAAGTTTACAAATCAAAGAAGCTTTTTGTTTTCTTGAGTTTTATAGGTTACACTCAGCTTTTAAACTTTCAACTGCCAGTGTCTCCTGTTGTACTCCATCATGATTGTAGCAACGGCGTCCTTCCGAAGAGGCTGGGACCTCTCTTCTGCAATCTGGGTATTTCTTCTTTCAGATACCCCAGGAGTTAAATAGACCAAGCCATGACTTCACCTCTTGCCCCTCCCTCACACAGTGCCGCCCCAAAGTATTTTGTGTTGGAAGGGCTACATGAAGTCTTACTGCTATTTATTTTCTTTTCCTTTTTCTCATTTATTGCTTTTTCCTTGCCTGGTCCAGCCAGGGTACCAGAGCCCCTTTGTTCTAGAGAAGAGTTACTTGATTTTAAAAAGCTTATTCTTTTATACAAAATTACTCCTGACCCTGGATGATGACTTGTGAGATTTAGAGAATGGAAATTCTTTGACTTTTAAGCCTTGAAAGTTGAAGAATTTTTTTTTTAAGTTTAATGTGAAAGAAGAGAGAAATACCACAGATTTTACTGAAAAAAATCAGCCTAATAGTACACAGATGTGTTAATTGAATGGAATTTTGGAATTAGATCTAAATGTTGTAGCAGGTAAAATAATTCAAGGTGATGAATCTCCAAGATAAGGAAATCAGAAAATTCCTAGTTTTTGAACAGTATTTTTCAAGGAACTTCAGTGACCAGAATTCCTGATATGTCCTATGACTGTGAGAGTAGTTCAGGTCTCATAAATGATCTGTTAAAAAACAAAAATAGGGGAGTGTATCTATTTTAAATAGACAGGGACATTGTATTAGAAGCAGAGCCATAAAGTTGGAAAGCTTTCCAACTGCCAGAACTGCAAGGAATGAGATAAATGTAAAGAATCCCTTAATTGGGCGGTGCCTATAGCTTAGTGAGTAGGGTGCTGACCCCATATACCAAGGGTGGTGGGTTTGAACCTGGCCCCGGCCAAACTGCAGGAACAAAAAAAATAGCCGGATGTTGTGGTGGGTGCCTGTATTCCTAGCTACTCGGGAGGCTGAGGCAAGAGAATCGCCTAAGCCCAAGAGCTGGAGGTTGCTGTGAGCTGTGATGCCACGCGCTCTACTGAGGGCAATAGAGTGGAGAATCCCTTTATTGAAGCAGGTAGGGCTGGGGTGGGCTGGCAAGGTTTGAAGGGGCAGGCTGTATGGTGGTGCAGGCTTCGTAAGGGTGAGTGGTTATATCAGGTGCATGTGCTTTCTCCAAACACATGCTGTGTGAGCTGTGCTCTGCTGCTGTGTCACACTTGCAGTCAGAAATGTGTGCTGCAGTATAGGGTCAGAGTCATCCAGGAGTGTCCAACCTGCAGCCCGCTGCCTCATGCTGATTTGGTGAGGACTTTTTTACTTCTCTGTGGTGTTGAATATAATGAAAAGTGTACATGGATCTTTTCTTGCTCATCAGCTTTCGTTAGTGTTTGTGTACTTAGTGTGAGACTTAAAACAACTGTCTCTTCCAATGTGTGGCAGAGGAAAAAAAGGTTGGACACCCCTGGTGACTCAAGGACGAATTTTCCCTGGTTTCTTTAGAAGATAAAACTTACTGACAGACATAAAAGTAATCCAGTAGTATCAGCACATAAAGACTTTTGGGCAAGAAGCTAAAAGAAACTTGGAAGTCAATCCAGATGGCCCCTTCCTGGAAGGCCCACAGCTATTCTGGAGGAACCAGGGGAAAGGACTCATTTCGTGGCAGGCACAGTTTTCTCTGATCTTCTGCATAAGGAAATGTGGTGAGTTAAGAAAGACTTAAACAGCTTTGGCGCCTGTGGCTCAAGTAGCTAAGGCATCAGCCACATACATCCAAGGTGGTGGGTTTGAATCCAGCCCAGGCCCGCCAAACAACCATGACGGCTGCAACCAAAAAATATAGCCTGGTATTGTGGCTGGCACCTGTGGTCCTAGCAGCTACTTGGGAGGCTGAGGCAGGAGACTCGCTTGAGCCCAGGAGTTGGAGGTTGCTGTGAGCTGTGATGCTACAGCACTCTACCCAGGGGGACAGCTTGAGTCTCCTGTCTCAAAAAAAAAAAAAAAACTAAACAAGCAGTTGGGTTGTCCTTTAGAGGGTGGGCATTACAATAGTACTGATGTGGGGAAGAAAGCAGGTACTCCATGAGAACAGGATCAGACCTAGTAGTATTAGAAATGATTCCACTTGTATTTTTGAGATTGTTCATGGTCCCAGGGTGTATAGAGCTTGGGTTTATAAGGAGGACTTGGGAACTCAGGTAGAAATTATACGTAAGTAGATCAGCACTGAAGTCAGTTCTAATCTATGCTATATGGTAAATTTTTTAAAAATGCAAGTAGAGTCAGGTGTTTCTTTAGGTCCCAGGCAGTAGATCCTAGAGCATCTGGGATCACTGTAAATTGGTGACTACTCACATTTTATGTGAGAGTGCTTTTAAAGACCAAAATCACATCTTTTTATAGTGTGTTCAGTGAGAGGTCACTTTGGGAGTTGTTCCTTTGAGGCTTGAGGTTGCCCTGGAGCAATTCGACTTGTTGGTTTTATGATATTATCAGTTCCTGGGCTGAGAAGTCCTGAACACCCAGGGGCGGTACTCTTTAATGCCTCAGCCTCTGAGTGTTTGGGGGCTTTTTCTCTCCCTTCAAGGATAGGGGAGAGGAGCTCCCCCCACCCCACCTGCACAGGATCAATTATCATTTCTGAAGTCATTCTTCCTAAATCTCGAACCCACCAACTCCCACCAACTTTGGTGTATGTGGCTGGCGCCGTAACCACCATGCTACAGGAGCCAAGCCTGTTCATTCTTTCTAAATCTCAAAAACTCTTTTTTTGTAAGACAACTCTTACAAGATATTTTTTCCCCTTGTGGGTTGCTACATTGACAGGGTTCAGTCTGGGTGGTTTGAAATCTCAATGCACATATAATGTGGAGCTTCATAGATTCTCTTGGCCCCCCTGCTCCCTCAGTGTCCACTGGTGGAGTCCTGTGACTGGCGTAGGCCAAGAATGAAAGAAGCACACTTCAGAATCAGATATTCATATTGAATCGTTTTGTTCTTGCTCTATGAAGATAAGTGAGCTAATTTTCTTCCTGGAATCTCATAGGCTTATTACTAAGGGCCAGGAAAATCCATTTAGTTCATTTAGTCACTCAGGAAACGTCACTAAACATCTATCTACGTGTCATTTCCCCCTACAGCTCTCCCTCTAAAATAAAACATCCTGTGAAGTATAACATGTCCTTCAGAATTGAATTGATTCCATATGCTGTTAAGTAACAGGTTTGTGGAGATAGTGTCTTCCCCAAATTGCTAAGTTTTTGGTGGCAGTACTTTGCCACAGTGGATAGAACTGAGCACCTTGAGAGTGAGGTCAATATCACCAAGCCTCTTCAATCTACTGTTAAATAACTTGATAGTCTGAGGAATAAATGGCTGGGTATCCAGAGCAGTAACTGCTACTTGATTGGCTCTTGGTTGGGTGGGTGGATGGATTCTCAGTCCAGGTGTTTCTCTTTTTGTTTTTTGTTTTTAGAGACAGGCTCTTTACATTGTTGCTCAGGCTAGAGTGCAGTGAGGCACTTACAGTGCACTGTAATCTAGAACTCCTGGGCTCAAGCAAGAGTCTCCCCACTGTGCCACCATTCATGCTAATTTTAAAAAATGTTTGTTTAGAGATAGGATCTTACTGTGTTGCCCAGGCTGGGATTATATCCCATATAACCCAACTATAAATATACTTCAGGTAAGAACCACACTGATAACAGTGTCTACTGATTAGATGCAGTAGGTAGGTGTATAAGAACTTTTTTATCTGTGAAGAAAAGTTGGCATTTGACTTAATGGGCACGTATTACACACATACTGGCTGACAATCCTGAATGGATTGTTCAGCGGTTCAGTTTTTATAGAAGTGCTCATTTTCATTTCCTGGGAATAGAAGAGGTGTTGCTGCCACCAGCTTTCCTGGTGAATTTCATAGCAAATAGGTGTTTGCTGTTTGATTTTCAGTGACCTTTTGGCGTGCCCTGATTTATATGTTATATTTATATAACATTAGTTTAATTTTGAGGCAGGGTGGTGAGTGGAAAGACTAGGAGCTGTTAGTAAACAGAGTTCTTATCTCCACAGTTTTATGTCTTAGCTGGGGAAAATCAGGCCTGTTTTTAACACCTATAACATGAAAGGACTAAGACTTGGTTTTTAATAAAGCTCCCTTCTAATTCTAACATTTGGTCATGACAGAATTCTGCATAAAGCTCAGATTTAGAGGAACATCTGGGTTGGAGTCTTTCTTTCCTCTGTTGCTTTCTTATTGGTTATATGGTATGTGTACTGGGCCAGTCATGCTCTCTTAGGCCTCAGTATTTTCATCTGTGAAATGGAAACACTACTAACTTGCATTGTTGCTGTGAGAATTAAATTTTGTAATGGATATAAGAGTGGTTTTGCTTCATTAGCAGTGAAGGAGAGCATATAACCAGCCCTCTACCTGTAGGTGCTCATCTGTTATTGTTAGATTCCACATAGTGCCCAGTTTGCCTTGAGTCAAGCACATTTTATAGGGCTATAGGGGAGGTTTTCTTCCTAGCCTATCCCCAAACTAGTGTTTACTTTCATCATCTCTTCGGTACCAGCGCTGCAGCCTTACCTTTGCTTACTTCCCGACATCCCCTCTGCCCCAGTGATTTCTCCCCATCTCCATTTGTATGTTGTTTGAATTTAATGTATCCATGAATGAACAAGTGAACAGATGAATGAATGGTAATGGATGATGGACTGTGAAGTCATATTTAGATGCACTATCTTATTTAAAAACAATAAATAAATAACTCCAATGGTATTTCCAATTGTGTAATTATATTGTATTTTATATTACGTAACTTAATGGCTAACCTTTTTGTTCATAGTATTCAAAGCAACTTCAAAGTGTGGGTGGGAGG